AGGGCAAATATCACACAAATTGTACAAAAAAAAAAAAAAAAAAGAATAATTACAGTAAATATAAACCAATCATGCTGATTCTCAAAAGAAACCTGCCTCTTTACAAAACAAAGCCACTCAGTACATTTGAAGTAAAACAAAATTACAGTTTGGAAGTTATGTGGTGACTGTCACCAAAACTGTGCAAAAATCCAGAATAAATATAAACCAATAAAAAAATTTCTAAAGCAATCTACCAATGTGTCTGTACATGAATTTGCTTACCCAGGTTGCAAGTCCATGATATTCCTTGGGGCAATTCTTCCATCAACTTTAACGTCATGGAAGGTAGCTATGTTCTTGTTTCCATCCACTGAAAATACACTTATGGATCAGAGCAACAAACACTGCCACCAGGTTTTGTACCACCAGTGGGATAAAGTGCATTAAAGGGATAAATAGATTTATGATATTTTTTATTACTTCATTGTGTTGCAAAGATAATTGTGGTTGTAAATTAACCGAGGCAGCACACAATGTCAAGAAGTTTATGATGTGCAAACCTTTTTTTTTTAAACTTTCAACTGGAAAACAAGAACACCACAAAGGATGGCAATGTATGCCAAAAGTTATTGCAATGTGCAAAGAACCTTTGTATGTTGTGCTTCAATATTATTGTCAATCACCACACTGACACATAACCATTATAAAAATTGTGCAAACATAATGACAGCCTAGGGAATAATTACCCTAAACCAATTATGCTGACTTTCGAAAGCAACCTGTCTCTATACCAAACAGTGCCACTTGGTAAATTTGAAGTAAAACATAAATACGGTTTGGCAGTTATGGGGCAAATGCCATGTGTCAGAATAACTAGAGGATCAGAGAGGCGATACCGCCTCCGAATATTGTACCACCAGCTGGAGTAAGCGCGATCGTATAGACCCCCACACACACAAAAAAGGGACACCACCACCAGTCTTGTGCTTGACAAGCTGTAAAAAATGCAATCAACAAGAATTCTCAAAAAATGCAAAAAAATATATAACTAAAAATGGTACAATCAAAGTTTAGTTCATAGTAAGGTAGGTCAAAGGTCAATTTCAACTTCCTATTCAACTTCAATAGTAACAATGGACCTATCTATGCCAGTTTTGGAGATATAAGGGACTAAATGTTATAATTTTGGAGTTACAATAATGTGCCATAAATTTCCTACAGAAATAATCAATTAAAATAAAGAAAAGGTCATTTTGGTCAAAATTCCTGAAATGGGAGGTGCTCTGAAGTTCCAGATGTTCAAATTTGATGAAATAATGTCATTTTTGACCACAAGTTATCTGCCTCACCAAGCCGTTTTATTTTTCCGGGGTTCAAAATTTATTATCCATTACCGTACTGCAAATTTTGCTTTCACCACCAATATGTATTTTTTGATACAGCGTAACTCGTATGGAATACAAAAAAAAACGGAGACCACCTCCAGTGTTGGGCTTTACATGCTCTACAAAATGCAAAAAAGAATGGGTCTCTAGCATTAACGGTTCCCGAATTAGAGACAGTTTTCAGTTTCGGTATCTTATGGCCGCTACTCCCGTGAAAATGCACCAATTGACCCAAAATTCACGGAGATGAAAGATGACATGAAGGGTAACACTTTCCAATAATATTATTGGTTAAGTCTGTGTGGTGTCTGAATAACAGCGCAAATATTGTTTGACTTTGAAATAAAGGTCAAAGGTCAAATCCAAGGGCATATTTGAAATCTACACATATGACTTTTGGAAAGCCGTCTGTAGAAA